GACGGTTTAAATATTCGTTAAAATCCTTGATAATCTCTAAGGGAAACTTTTCAATCCTTGTCAAGATTCAATTCCGATCACAGATTATTATCCTACCGTTACTTAATAAGCGTAATCCACTTACGATAGAAGGGTTAGATCTCGGGTTAGATACTTGGAAAGTATAAGTCGTTTACCGATTCGTTTAGATGTGAACACTACCGGCGTGAAAAGAGCGGCCAATCCTAGCGGCCAAAATTTCCGAACATACCCGAAGCGAAAATAAACCCCTGCCACAGAATTTTTTTGCTCTTAATTCATTTTCCTCTAAATACTGAAACAATTCTATTTACAATGAAATAGAAAACCCTCTCATCAAGCAGAATTACGAGTCAATAAGGGTTGAACAAGCCACCCTCTTATCATATCTCCAAAACGGCACATACTATCACGATCAAATTTTCGTGGATGGCTAATGATAGTTCGAGAATAAATAATCAACAAAAATACCCAGGTGCACTGCCGTCCAAGGGGTTGAAATAGTCACCCCCTTGTCGGATCTCGAAAACGGCACATACTATCACGATCAAATTTTCGTGGATGGCTAATGATAGTTCGAGAATAAATAAACAACAAAAATACCCAGGTGCACTGCCGTCCAAGGGGTTGAAATAGTCACCCCCTGTCGGATCTCGAAAACGGCACATACTATCACGATCAAATTTTCGTGGATGGCTAATGTAGTTCGAGAATAAATAATCAACAAAAATACCCAGGTGCACTGCCGTCCAAGGGGTTGAAATAGTCACCCCCTTGTCGGATCTCGAAAACGGCACATACTATCACGATCAAATTTTCGTGGATGGCTAATGATAGTTCGAGAATAAATAAACAACAAAAATACCCAGGTGCACTGCCGTCCAAGGGGTTGAAATAGTCACCCCCCTGTCGTATCTCGAAAACGGCACATACTATCACGATCAAATTTTCGTGGATGGCTAATGATAGTTCGAGAATAAATAATCAACAAAAATACCCAGGTGCACTGCCGTCCAAGGGGTTGAAATAGTCACCCCCTTGTCGGATCTCGAAAACGGCACATACTATCACGATCAAATTTTCGTGGATGGCTAATGATAGTTCGAGAATAAATAAACAACAAAAATACCCAGGTGCACTGCCGTCCAAGGGGTTGAAATAGTCACCCCCTTGTCGGATCTCGAAAACGGCACATACTATCACGATCAAATTTTCGTGGATGGCTAATGATAGTTCGAGAATAAATAAACAACAAAAATACCCAGGTGCACTGCCGTCCAAGGGGTTGAAATAGTCACCCCCTTGTCGGATCTCGAAAACGGCACATACTATCACGATCAAATTTTCGTGGATGGCTAATGATAGTTCGAGAATAAATAATCAACAAAAATACCCAGGTGCACTGCCGTCCAAGGGGTTGAAATAGTCACCCCCTTGTCGGATCTCGAAAACGGCACATACTATCACGATCAAATTTTCGTGGATGGCTAATGATAGTTCGAGAATAAATAATCAACAAAAATACCCAGGTGCACTGCCGTCCAAGGGGTTGAAATAGTCATCCCTTTGTCGTCCTTCAAAAGCGATACATAATTGTACTATCTCAAAACTCTGCCAACTAAGACAGGAAGCGTGAAAGCCCCGGATTTAGGGATTATATATAACCCGGACATATCAACTGAATTTGATTAGAAATATTGGTCTAAAGAAATAGTCTTTGAAATTGTGCTTTATTAAGGAGCTCCTAGCGAGTTGATAATTTTGTGGTGGCTGTCCGTCTGTTAGCACGGTAACTCATAAACGAATGGACCGATTACGATGAAATTTTGCAGACGGATTCTTTACCAAATTTGCAGATCGGAGTTCGTGAATTGGCAATGTAGACCAAAAAATAAAGTAGGCCCTTTTGACATCTCCGTTAGTTATGAACCGAATTGCATGAAATTCAATATGCGCATAACTTTAGCCATATAAAACACAATTCCAAAAGTTGTGCCTAATCGATCAGTATTCACAGTGCCCTTTGCGCATCTCGACCATTTACAGACCGAATTGCAAAGTTTCTTATTTATGAAATTTGATACATAGCCACTTGCAATAAAAGCAAATTTAACGCCAGTTTAAAAATTTCGTTTTGCGGATGCGCAGTGGCAACTTTCTTATTTATGGATGCATTCAAATGAAATTTCATACATATACACTTTAAATAAGAGCAAAACTGACATCTGGCCACACCCAGGAGTAGGCATGGGAATTTTTGTCGATATATCGATAGGTATCGATAGTTATCGATATATCGAATAACAATAGGTAGATCTAAAAAAATCGATATATCGATATATCGATAGATCGATAACTATCGATATATCGATACTTATCGATAAGTATCGATATATCGATACCTATCGATATGTCGATGACGATAACTATTGATATATCGATATGTCGATAACTATCGATATATCGATATGTCGATAACTGTACGATAAAATTATGTTATTGTTGAGATTTCAACGAGCGCTACTATTTTTATTAATAAAATCCATTTTCGGGTTTACTCTCGTGTAAATTTACTATTTTTAGTCGCTCGACGTTTCGGAAACTTAACTTTGCTCCCTTTCTCAAGAGAAGCGCTACGTCACATCATCATCCATGCCAAATAAACGCAGTAATAAAATCTTTAGAAAATAGATCTTTTCGTCTTACTGACGATTGCTCAAAAAAAGAAGCACTTCAAAAACTTGAACAAAATGTTGCATCAAAATGGCTACTCTTTAGATAAAATAAAGAAGACAATCAAAGGGTGTAATCATGGCCTATGTATCGGTATCTGATTGATGGTTACAGAGGACCAGTCACAAAAAAACAGAAAAAGCTAAGAACACTTCAAATTTAGATATACAGTTTCAATTGATTGACATTTACGAAATCTAACAAAAAACTCTTGATAAAGATAGCAAAGAAACGTCGAGTAACTATTAATGGTCACTTTACACGAGAATAAACCGGAAAATGGATTTTATTAATAAAACTCGATAAGATAACTATTCCTGTCGATAACTATCGATACGTCGAATATTTCTCTCAAATGAGACGTGCAATTACCGCTTAATTACAGCGGTAATTGCATTGTAGAAAGCTAAAGAGCCCTGCGATAATTGCACAGTTAATATGGTAACTCCAATAAAGTTGCAAGAACTGCATTCGGTTATTTTTATATTTTGTTAAAAGAGCCCTCTTGTCTTGTCGGGCTCTTTCGCCAAAATATAAAAGTAAACTCATGCAGTTTTTAGACACGCTTTCAAAAAAATTATCGGTAATATTATATCGATACCTATATATTAAAAACTATCGCCATAACGAGAACTATTGATATACCGATACTTATCGATATAGCGGTAGTTATCGATCTTTCGATAGTTATCGGTGTATCTATAACCATCGATATTTCGATAATTATCGGCATATCGATAAGTAAAATATATCGATAGGTAAGTACCCGATACATCGATACTATCGATAGATATCGATAACTATCGATATATCGATAACTATCATATATCGATAACTATCGAAATATCGATAACTATCGAAATATCGATAACTATCGATATATCGATAACTATTGAAATATCGATAACTATCGATATATCGATAACTATCGAAATATCGATAACTATATCGATATATCGATAACTATCGACATATCGATAACTATCGATATTTCGATAATTATCGGCATATCGATAAGTAAAATATATCGATAGGTAAGTACCCGATACTTATCGATAGGTGAAAACAGTTATCGCGCCCATCCCTACCCAGGAGCTCGTTTGCTATATTTCTGTAATTTATTTTTTTATCACTGACTAGACTGTTTCAATATTCAATAAATTCCTTTCTTTGGTCCACTGTTATGCCACTAGTGAAAATATTCTTTCAACGTTGGCATTATGAGCAGGAATGCAAAAAAAGCACTAGTCACCCCTTGGACGGCAGTGCACCTGGGTATTTTTGTTGATTATTTATTCTCGAACTATCATTAGCCATCCACGAAAATTTGATCGTGATAGTATGTGCCGTTTTCGAGATCCGACAAGGGGGTGACTATTTCAACCCCTTGGACGGCAGTGCACCTGGGTATTTTTGTTGATTATTTATTCTCGAACTATCATTAGCCATCCACGAAAATTTGATCGTGATAGTATGTGCCGTTTTCGAGATCCGACAAGGGGGTGACTATTTCAACCCCTTGGACGGCAGTACACCTGGGTATTTTTGTTGATTATTTATTCTCGAACTATCATTAGCCATCCACGAAAATTTGATCGTGATAGTATGTGCCGTTTTCGAGATCCGACAAGGGGGTGACTATTTCAACCCCTTGGACGGCAGTGCACCTGGGTATTTTTGTTGATTATTTATTCTCGAACTATCATTAGCTATCCACGAAAATTTGATCGTGATAGTATGTGCCGTTTTGGAGATATGATAAGAGGGTGGCTTGTTCAACCCTTATTGACTCGTAATTCTGCTTGATGAGAGGGTTTTCTATTTCATTGTAAATAGAATTGTTTCAGTATTTAGAGGAAAATGAATTAAGAGCAAAAAAATTCTGTGGCAGGGTTTATTTTCGCTTCGGGTATGTTAGCAATTGGCCGCTCTTTTCGCCGGTAATAAATCAGCAAAAAGAATTTCTTCAGAGCAAAAAAATTCTGTGGCAGGGTTTATTTTCGCTTCGGGTATGTTCGGAAATTTTGGCCGCTAGGATTGGCCGCTCTTTTCACGCCGGAAAAAGAAATTATGGAAGCATTCGAGGTAAGTATACGTAATGGATTTTCAAAAATTTGATGTGCATAGGTAAAGTTCAACAGATAGCTGGACAGCACTTGTTTTGTGAAGGTAAGTATGATAATGATTGGACGTATCTCTGACCTTTTTGTCTTTACAGCTCCAACCTCTCAACATGTGAAATTCCTCTGGCTATAAAAGATGTACATCCAGATTGGAGGGATGCTAATAGATGGCAATAATGTAGGCTCCTGACTGGGAGATAGTAGTTCTGACTTCTGACCGTTACTTTCGATATTTTTTTTATATCGAAATAAGAAAATCGGGAAATAGCTAAAATAGCACTTTCAATAGAAACTTTATTGCTTACATTTGTTTACTTACGGTTTATGTTCAACCCTATTTCGTCTTGTGGAAAAATTTCCACTAGTGACAATATTCAAATTATAAAAAAACTGGTACGCTTCTGAAACGGATTACATTTAAATTACTTATTACTTAGAATTAATTTACTTACGCTCAGAAGTCAGACTAATACTTAATTAAATGAAACAATTGATCCGTCAATTGACGACAAATAATTTAAATTATATCGCATACGCAATACGACTGCAATCGCTGAATAACGACAAAAATATGTTTTAAATTGTTGTAAATTTCCCAAATAAAATAATGTTTATAACAAATAACAAGAATAAACCTAGTAATGCCATCTATATTGTATGTGTCCATTTTTGTAAGGGAAAACTGTACAGTAATCCGTTACAACCCGGCGAACTTCATACAGTTCGAAGTAGCCTGCCCTGTATCAGATTTGTGAGGGTTTTCCATAATATTCATTAACACGTTGCTATTTTTGAGGCTTAAAAGTTATTTCTGTTTTCGTTATTTGTCCATTTAAGTCTAGTAAAAACGCATAATTTAAAAATAGATCCGTCGTTGTAGAATGGGTCAGAATTTACATAGGCGATACAAATTAGTGTAAGGAGTGGGAAAGCGGCATTCGTTATGCGGCTTACGCAGTGTTAAATCCGTCCACTGCGTGGATACCCAGTCCAAAGAGAGGTCATATCTATCAAGCGACCTGCGCGTTGCGGACGAAGATTTTCGTAGCATTTCCAAGAATGAAAATAATAAATGTTCACAGAGAAGTCTATAGTCTATCTGTACACAAAGCAGTTGGAGGCTCAATTTTAACTCCACATCGAAAAAACGGTCTCAGCGAGAATTCTGTAATCGGTCCGTGCAGAAAGCAGCTGTAGAGAGCCAGTAATTTTAATTCTGATTTTAAACTCTAACCCGAACGCGTCTAGAACTTCTTTCATAACTTTAATAAAGATTATTGTCTTATTATTTATCCCTTTCCCCATTTCCTTAAGGGCCAAGAAGATGTTTACTGACTGCCAGCAAGCCCGAGCACTTATTTACATATAATTACCTAACAAGAGTCACCCTCGATTGAATTAAAATGTATGAAGATTAACCAGGAGTAGGATGAATTAAAAAAAAAACATTCCAGCTCCGGCAGTAATTTTTCCCAATGAGTTTGATAATGCTGTATCNAAATTCAATATGCGCATAACTTTAGCCATATAAAACACAATTCCAAAAGTTGTGCCTAATCGATCAGTATTCACAGTGCCCTTTGCGCATCTCGACCATTTACAGACCGAATTGCAAAGTTTCTTATTTATGAAATTTGATACATAGCCACTTGCAATAAAAGCAAATTTAACGCCAGTTTAAAAATTTCGTTTTGCGGATGCGCAGTGGCAACTTTCTTATTTATGGATGCATTCAAATGAAATTTCACACATATACACTTTAAATAAGAGCAAAACTGACATCTGGCCACACCCAGGAGTAGGCATGGGAATTTTTGTCGATATATCGATAGGTATCGATAGTTATCGATATATCGAATAACAATAGGTAGATCTAAAAAAATCGATATATCGATATATCGATAGATCGATAACTATCGATATATCGATAGATCGATAACTATCGATATATCGATACTTATCGATAAGTATCGATATATCGATATGTCGATAACTATTGATATATCGATATGTCGATAACTATTGGTACGATAAAATTATGTTATTGTTGAGATTTCAACGAGCGCTACTATTTTTATTAATAAAATCCATTTTCGGGTTTACTCTCGTGTAAATTTACTATTTTTAGTTGCTCGACGTTTCGGAAACTTAACTTTGCTCCTTTTCTCAAGAGAAGCGCTACGTCACATCATCATCCATGCCAAATAAACGCAGTAATAAAATCTTTAGAAAATAGATCTTTTCGTCTTACTGACGATTGCTCAAAAAAAGAAGCACTTCAAAAACTTGAACAAAATGTTGCATCAAAATGGCTACTCTTTAGGTAAAATAATAAAGAAGACAATCAAAGGGTGTAATCATGGCCTATGTATCGGTATCTGATTGATGGTTACAGAGGACCATCAGTCACAAAAAAACAGAAAAAGCTAAGAACACTTCAAATTTAGATATACAGTTTCAATTGATTGACATTTACGAAATCTAACAAAAAACTCTTGATAAAGATAGCAAAGAAACGTCGAGTAACTATTAATGGTCACTTTACACGAGAATAAACCGGAAAATGGATTTTATTAATAAAAATCGATAAGATAACTATTCCTGTCGATAACTATCGATACGTCGAATATTTCTCTCAAATGAGACGTGCAATTACCGCTTAATTACAGCGGTAATTGCATTGTAGAAAGCTAAAGAGCCCTGCGATAATTGCACAGTTAATATGGTAACTCCAATAAAGAACTGCATTCGGTTATTTTTATATTTTGTTAAAAGAGCCCTCTTGTCTTGTCGGGCTCTTTCGCCAAAATATAAAAGTAAACTCATGCAGTTTTTAGACACGCTTTCAAAAAAATTATCGGTAATATTATATCGATACCTAGGTATATATTAAAAACTATCGCCATAACGAGAACTATTGATATACCGATACTTATCGATATAGCGGTAGTTATCGATCTTTCGATAGTTATCGGTGTATCTATAACCATCGATATTTCGATAATTATCGGCATATCGATAAGTAAAATATATCGATAGGTAAGTACCCGATACATCGATACCTATCGATAGTAATCATATATCGATAACTATCGATATATCGATAACTATCGAAATATCGATAACTATCGAAATATCGATAACTATCGAAATATCGATAACTATCGATATATCGATAACTATCGATATATCGATAACTATCGATATATCGATAACTATCGAAATATCGATAACTATCGATATATCGATAACTATCGATATATCGATAACTATCGACATATCGATAACTATCGATATTTCGATAATTATCGGCATATCGATAAGTAAAATATATCGATAGGTAAGTACCCGATACTTATCGATAGGTGAAAACAGTTATCGCGCCCATCCCTACCCAGGAGCTCGTTTGCTATATTTCTGTAATTTATTTTTTTATCACTGACTAGACTGTTTCAATATTCAATAAATTCCTTTCTTTGGTCCACTGTTATGCCACTAGTGAAAATATTCTTTCAACGTTGGCATTATGAGCAGGAATGCAAAAAAAGCACTAGTCACCCCTTGGACGGCAGTGCACCTGGGTATTTTTGTTGATTATTTATTCTCGAACTATCATTAGCCATCCACGAAAATTTGATCGTGATAGTATGTGCCGTTTTCGAGATCCGACAGGGGGGTGACTATTTCAACCCCTTGAACGGCAGTGCACCTGGGTATTTTTGTTGTTTATTTATTCTCGAACTATCATTAGCCATCCACGAAAATTTGATCGTGATAGTATGTGCCGTTTTCGAGATCCGACAAGGGGGTGACTATTTCAACCCCTTGGACGGCAGTGCACCTGGGTATTTTTGTTGATTATTTATTCTCGAACTATCATTAGCCATCCACGAAAATTTGATCGTGATAGTATGTGCCGTTTTCGAGATCCGACAAGGGGTTGACTATTTCAACCCCTTGGACGGCAGTGCACCTGGGTATTTTTGTTGATTATTTATTCTCGAACTATCATTAGCCATCCACGAAAATTTGATCGTCATAGTATGTGCCGTTTTGGAGATATGATAAGAGGGTGGCTTGTTCAACCCTTATTGACTCGTAATTCTGCTTGATGAGAGGGTTTTCTATTTCATTGTAAATAGAATTGTTTCAGTATTTAGAGGAAAATGAATTAAGAGCAAAAAAATTCTGTGGCAGGGTTTATTTTCGCTTCGGGTATGTTCGGAAATTTTGGCCGCTAGGATTGGCCGCTCTTTTCACGCCGGTGGTAAATGTTCCTCAAAAGTAGCCATCTTGAATTTTTTTTGACATCAATTCTAAATTAAACGTATCAAAGACAGTAACTTTTATATAACACTTTTTTTTATATCTCTTATACTTTCGATGATATAAGACATTCAAGGAAATCACCAATTTTAGTTTTTTTGAATTTACGTCGAACCTATGCGACATTTTGAATTTCCATAAGGAAATTTTAAATAAACATCCAAAACTGTAAAACATTGCCCATTTAACCAATTCTCTATCCTTAATAATAATAAAGTTACCCATGCAATCCCACCCGATCTGGGACACACTGTATATGGTTGTCAGGACCAATGCTGTCGAAACTGCAAAAGCCACATACAAGTTAGGAGAACCTTTAAGGGTTATTAAGAACTTTAAAACAATTACAAATGGTTTGCAAGAGGGTCCAGAAAAGAGCTTAAAGAGTCCTTCTAGGAGCTGATCTTCTTTTCTCTCTTAGAACCGAGCCTTGCAAAGATTTAGTGAGTCGTTGAAAGATTTTGAGATTTATCAGAGTACTAAGTGTATCCTTAAGGCCCGAATTGGGGTTTCACACCCTTACAGACTCCTCTACGACTGTAATCAGAACGAAGAAATGAAGATTCAAAATTGCCTTGCGATTCAGAATCGTAAAACTCCCCAACTCTTCGTCGGTTCTTCGAAGCATAAAAATAAATCCGCGACCATAAAAGCCATTCCCATTTATTTGTTATTATTAATGAGGCGATTAAAATAGTTAACGCGTAATTAATTTACACTTCTGTGTTCTATAAATGGGAACTCCCCTTCTTACGGAGATTAATGTCAAAAATTTCCTACCAGTTAATTTTGCATAAATAATAGTTGGACTATTAATCACCCTAAATAAGGCCGGTCAGTCGAAAATGCTAATTATTCTCGCGTTTTTGATGATTGATGCACGGATTAACGAGTTTGTTTATTAGACGATGACATTTAAGACGTCGATTTTTTTTGAATTCCTTTCTTCATTTTTTTTTGAAAATATAATCACGGCGAATTTAAAAGTGGTGCTATTAAAGTAAGTGATTGCTCTTTAAATAGATTGAATATTTTAGTTATCTTTTGACATCCTTGAACCCTCCTGTAGGTATTTGTACGTGTCTTGGTCAATTTTTATAAAAAGAGCATGGGAGGAAAATCAGTGTTCTTTTTCTTTAGTTTTGAGGGGCCATCTTTTTCGTTTTTTTGATCATCTTGTGCTCTGTTACTGTTGAAACTTGGCCCACCTGTTGCTGATACT